TTCTAAGATAAAGTACATCTTATCGTGTAACACATTAGCACGTTCTTTGGACAATGTCCTAGGTGTATCGTACATTTTTTGTAAGAACGTTATTTAATAGTAAATGTCCATACCATTTAGTAAAACAGTCCGCTTCTCCAGTGACTCACCTTAGATTCATGGAATACAAATAATCATATGCTATACGCGCTGTACACCGCCAGTGCACTGTGAAGTTATACGAATGTGTGCGACCGTACACGGCGTGCGCGCACACATACAAGCGGCGCTGTTACATTTGTTTGGAGTTAGCATACTTGTCTTATTATACTTTGGTGTTAACCAACTTACCTACTATACAGGGTGTAAAAAGACCCTTAACGAAAACGACAACTACGTATTTTTCCCATCGTTACTAGTATTTTCTTGTATGGAGCCATATCTGGGAACCTCTGATATTTAAAAAGACACAGAGGGTCAAAGTGAACATTTTTTTCATTTTTTTTTACGAAATTTGTTTTGAAATGTACTCCAAACAAACATCATATTTTTTCTTAAATTTACAAGTAAACGAGACGTTTGAAATTAAAAAACCGCAATAAAAGCTGTACCTGTACCACAGGCAGACTCACACTCGTGCACTCTGTTACATTGCGCGTCATAAAAACAGCTACTTTTTAATACCTAACAATAAAGATTGCTCCATGTGCCTCAGTTTGATGTCTACTGAGCGCATATTTCGGCTTCGTTAAGGGTCTTTTTACACTCTGTATAAGACACAGCCTTTCAAATCGTGTACACATTATAGTCGTCACAATATAAGCGACCCGATTTGACAGTCAAGGCAGCTAACTTGATAATGATTTCACGCATTAACTGCCGAAACCGACCTTATGTAGTCGAAACTGACTTCATGCAGTTAACGCGTGAAGTCGTTAATTAACTCGAATCTGTTAGCAGCCTAAGGAAGACGGATGGTATGTAACTTTGAATGCAATTAGCGAAACAGTGAACAAACTATCATTGACTAATTGGATTTAAAAAAAAATACATTCATTTTATTGAAGCATTGTAGTAGAATATATTTCAAGTATTATTTTCGCACGAATTCCAAAATATGAAATTTTGAGTTAGTCCGAAACGTCTTAAAGACAGTTACTTCCTCAATGTCTTTTTTAAACTATAGTGTTTTAACCAATTAATTGCCCATTTTCACCAAATCATTTCAATTTCACTTAAAAATATTGACTTTTTGTTTTTAGTTTGACAGAGATGTTAAAATTGGTAATATGATTGAAAATCAAATATTATACATACAGGTGATACTAGCTTAACCATCGAGTATATAACCAGAAATAGAGACGAAATGTCATTTAATTTGTTTGAAAACTATCCTGCCAAATCATTACGGTGACAACTGCGCTCCAAATGGCCGGCCCGAATTCGAAACAATTGACGGGTGTCGTCAATTGTTTCACTTAAATCGATCAGTTCAACTTGAGCTTTGCTATAATGGACGAAAATGGAAAAATTACATATTTAATATTTAATTACCGATAAGTGATTGAATACGTTAGTTTTGTAATAAGGTCTTTGCTGTTTTACCCACACCACCGAATGGAATAGCCCCCCATAGTTAGAGATATTATCTTTATTACATTAAATACAGAATATTTTTAGAATATACAGAGACGGACACACACAGGTCAGTTGTTGGCGCTGTCTATATTTCAGTGCAAACGAGAGTTGATATTTATAAGTGATGTATAATTGATGAGTTACCAGGAATGTGTGGGCCTTATTTCGTCTCTAATGAGCTTAACTGATGATTTTGGCTCATCTTCCGATGAAAGTGAATAAAAATGTAAACTTTTAAAGTAAAAGTCTTTTTTGTTTTGCTTCAGAATTTTGCTATTTAACTACAGGTTGTCCTTGTGAACTCTGTTAGTGTAACTACAATACAACAACAAGTACAGATTGTCATTGTGATCATTCGAAATAATTACTTATTATTTATATTAAATTCTATATTGCTTAAATAAATGTTAATTATTATTGTTCTATCTAGAACCGAAAATCAATGACCCGAAAAATAATTTGAACGATCACATACTTATAAAACATCGTATCGATTTTTCGTGAGAATCGTGTAATATGTTTAGTTCACATCCCTATTTACGTTGCGATGACAAGTGTCAAAAGGTGCCTCTTATTTTGTGACGACTATAGTTTAAATATTGGTGAAAACGTCCTCATCTGATAAAACCTGCATGTCGGTCATTTTACAAAACTCTTGGACAATATATAAATTCGACAGTGGGCCAGCATGGTGGACTATGCCTTAACACCATCCCTTCGACCCGTGCATACCATTGGTAGGTATTTTTAGGATTTTTTTGAACAGTTTTTTAGGGTTGTCAAAATTCCCTTTAGGTGTCTCCTTTTAAAGATATTCCACTTTCTACTACCCTGACACCCATCTTTCACATCAATACGCATATTGATGCGTGCTTTCATACAAGTTTTTTTTAATTATCTGGGACTGGTAACCACGAAATTCTCCTTTAAATTTTATTCTGAGGATCCTTTATGTTACAGTTGCAAAGGGAAAATCCAAAGGGCATTTTGACTCTTATCCTTTTTTTAACACCTTGTAGGTCATTGGAACCATCGAAGAAAACAAATATGGCAGAGGACGAAAGGAAACTCATAAGAGGAGCTGAAAATTTATTCCTGGACGGACAAATTGAACATGCAAAAGCAATGCTTATAGAAGGATTAAAAGTTTATCCAGAGAGCTTTGCAATGCAACATTTGTTACAGAAATATCAAGTCTTTAAAGTGTTGAACGTACCTGGCTACTTTCGACAAGAAAATGAAGAAGTGAAAAAAAATGAAGTTCAAAACGAAACAGAACTTGGCCAAGTAACAAATAACTGTAAAATTAAACAAGACATTAATGAAATAAAACAAAAAAATGGAAATGACACTGAGATTGAACAAAAACAGTATGAAATTGCAAATAATTCATTTCAAATGCGTCTAAAAGTGCTTAAAATGGAACAGGAAGTAGTTAAAACTTTTTATGGCAAGGAACTAATTGAGAATGAAAATGACGGGCTGACAAAAACACGTGCCATACAAACGTGTATAGAACACATTAATACTGCTCTTGATACCTCTCTTTTCAATTGTGAAGAGGTCAAAAATCAATTGTTTATAGCTGAGAGTATAAGTACTGAACTGATGAGAAAAATTAAAATGGCAGTTAAAAAAAAATCCCTAAACAAAGTAGAGGTGATAAAACCCGAGGATGACATAGAAGTCCCTGATTATAGATCTATAGTGACAGTGAAAGGCACTAAAGAGGATGTCACAAATTGTATACTAAAAGCGAAAAGAGCTTTAGAGAATGAAAAATTCGATAGAGCTGAAAGTCTTCTTTTGAAAGCTGAAAGAATATTTCCGACTAAAAATGCTAGAGATTTACTGAAACAAATCCGGGCTGCTAGAGAACCAAAAAAGGACCCTAACCCTATTGAAATAGCTACCGAAGCTGTAGAACAAGTTGACACTATCAAAGAAGAAGAGTCAAAATCAGGAGACGACAGTGTAAATGCTGTTAAATGTCTGGCAGCTTTTGAAAGAGCATTCAGTGCTGGCAATTTTGAGAAAGCCGAGCGAATGTTGAATAAGGCTAAAAGATTTGACGCAGAATTGAACATAGAGAGGAAACTATCTCAAGTCAAAGCTGCCATAAATAAGAAAATCATGGAAGAAAAACGGAAGGAGCAGATTGAGAAAGCAATAAGAGAATACAAAAACGCAGGCGAGTGCCTCTACAAGTCAATGAAAGCATATGACGCTGGCGATTTTGTAAAGGCTGAATTAATTTTGTGTCTAGCGAGGATATATGACTCGGCGTTGAATTTGGAACTAGAATTGTCGAATATAAGAACTAAGATGGCTTCAGAAAGTAGTAAAGAAAATAAAGATCTAGATAAAACTGTTCCCGAGGAAACTGTAACTGAAAATGATATCAAATTCGCTGCAGAAAATCTCTATAATGCTAAAAAAGCGTACGATACTGGTGACTTCAAAGAAGCCCACCGAAAATTCCTTGACGCAAAAATATGTGATAAATCCTTGAATTTGGAACCGTATTTGTCAAAGTGTAGAGCCGAAATCGCTTCAAGGAGTTCAACAGAAGGAAACACGGCTATTCCCGAAAAGGTATCAGACACTGTGACAACTTACGCTAAAGAAAATATCGAGTTAAATGAGCGTAATATCAATGAAGCTGAAATCGCCTATCAAAATCGAAACTTAACGTTCCCAAAATTGGCAAAGCCAGTTTACCCGTGTAAAAAGGTTAACGAAACGCTTGACCATGTTGAAAATCTTAAAGGAAAGAACCTACCAAAACCTAGTCATGAAATAACTAATTCTGAAACCGAGTTTTCATGCTTGGAAGATGAAAAACGAAAAGAGATGGAGATGAAAGAAAGACAAGAGATAGAAAGACGAAGAAAAGAGGTGGTAGAAAAAGAAAAGTCAAGAAAGAAAAAGGATGACTCATTTGAAATTAATAAAACTTACGAGGCCCAAAAAAGAAGCTTAGAAAATGAAAAGGAAAAAACGGGCACACGAGTAAATAAAAAGACAAATTCAGGTAGATGCAAGTTCAGTACAGATAATAAAAAACAAACAGCAGATAGAGAGAAATTACAACAGGTTCATCAGCTCGTTAACAAAGCGAGGCAGTGTATTAATAACAGCGAATTTGAACTCGCAAAAGTTACTTTGTTAGAAGCTGCAAGCATACACGCTACACCTACTGTCAAGTCGCTGATGGAAGAGATCGAAAAATCCTTGGAAAATCTCAAGAGAACCAATTATTCTTCTAAATATAAGGGAGATTACAAAACTACAAAATCTCCATCGAAAGAAGAACAAGTGAAAGCTTTGATATCCTTGGCCGAAAAAGCAATAGATGAAAAAAACTTCGAAGATGCCATGAATTTCCTGAACTCAGCAGAAGAACTCTATCCAACAGATCAAGCTAAAGAACTAATAAAGAGCATCAACGAAATTAAAATTTGTCGCGATGAAACTTCTGTACAATTAAATTGCTACGAATTTACTATTGAAGCCAACGAATCTGACAGAGCAGAGGCATTGAAATGCATTACAATGGCACAAGTAGCCTTTCAAGAAGGCCGTAACGAAAGAGCTGAGCATTTACTTGTTAAAGCTCTAAGAATTTGTGACAGTCAAAGAGCAAAGACGCTTTTGGAAACTGTACGCAACGCAAAAGGGCAAAATAACTCTAGCGTAAAAACAGAAAAAAGTTGTGAATATGGATATGATCATTCTCTGAACGAATATAATTTGGAATATAATAAAAGCATAGAACTGGCGGAAAAGGCTATTGCCGAAGGGGACTTAGATAAAGCTGAGCGTTTTCTTTCAAAAGCAATTCGAATTTACCCCAACGACAAAGCTCGAAAACTACTTGAACATATTAAAAATGTTAGATCATCACATCCTTCGAGTGATAAAACCTTAAAAAGCGATGATTATTTGAAAAGCGAGGGAGAAGCTGAAATATTAATAGATCGGGCTATAAAAGCTATGACTTGCGAAGTGTTTGACCTTGCTTGTTTTTATTTAGAATGGGCATTAGAAAAGCAACCAAATGAACACACGAAGGAATTGTTGCAAGAAGCAAAAATAAAACAAAACAGCTGTAATAGACGTAGTTCTCAGTCAAAAAAATTATATGAATGTGACGCAAACAAACTACTGGCTAAAGCTGAAAATCTTATACTTGATGGCGATTTGAAGAAAGCCGAAACATTCTTGATTGTTTCTTGGGACATGAACAGAAGTGGACGTACTACATCGGTTCATAAGAAATTTCTAGAAGCACGAATGGCTCGTTTTGAAAGAGATGAGAAACACAAACGTGATGGAACAAATAATGGAAATTCTAAGAATATTTTTGAATCTGATAAACTTGTGAAGACAGCTTTGGAGAAAATCGGCAAAAAAAATTTTGAAGAGGCCAAAGAGTTACTAATGAGAGCTGCAGAATTTTATCCAAGTGAACGAATTGACAAACTGCTGGTTGAAATTGGAGGAGTTAATACAGAAGACGGAACCCTTAAAACAATGTATAATAGCTGTAAAAATTATGTAAAAAAATTGTTTTAATCGTTCACCTTTTACTATTTTGTGAAAACATAGACGCAGTCATTATAATATGCTAGTTACATAACACTGTAATTGTTTTTCTGAATACCGTTTAGCAGTAATTGTTACAACAACACGGATTTAAAATGATGTTTACATTAGTTTAAGGAACCTTTTAATTTTAGGTAAGAAATAAGGTAAAAATACTTCATAATGTCGCTAGAAGAAAAGATGAAAGAAGCAAAAAAATGTATAGAAATAGCTGAAAATGCTATATCTATTGAAAATTTTGTAAAAGCAAAACGCATGCTTTCGAAAGCTGAAAGAATACATCCTACTGATACTGCCCAACAACTTTTGAAACACATAGAAAGATTCACTTTAAGCAATAACAATAATGAAGATGAAAATGATGTCATGGCCGCTCAAAAATGTATAACTATAGCACGTATAGCTATTGGGAATAATAATGTAGTGAAAGCCGAAAGATTTCTTTTGAAGTCTATAAATATACATTCTACAGACGAAGCTAAGGAATTGTTAGAAAAACTTAAGAATGGATATGAATGCAACGAACCGACAAGACCTACAGGAACACTAGAAACAGCTGAAGAATGTATAGAGAGAGCACAAAATGCTTTCCACGAGGGCAATTGTAAGAAAGCGTTACGTCTGCTGACAAAGTCTGAGCGTATATACCCAACTTCAAGAGCAAAAGATCTCTTGAAACAAGTAAAAGAGAAATTGTCGGAAAACGGAGAAGATCCCGACGAAGTACTGAAAGAAGTTAGAAAGATTACTGTCAGGAAAGATGCTGGCGCTCCACCACCACCTCAGCCAAAAAAGAGAGAAGTAACCAGCGAGCAGATCAGCGAGATTCAGCGAGTGAAACAGGCTAAAGATGATTATGACATTTTGGGTAAGTTCACAAACCGAATTGAAATTACGTAAATTATAATAATTTGGACTACTTTTATTGTATTGAAGACGTTGCATAGTTAAAACTCGGGGTGAGATAATTTCAATCTCTGAAACGTCCTTAAGTAAATTGGTTGTAATTTCGGCGTTTGCTATACAACTCTCGTTCTCTGTCCGACATTCGCCGTAAACAATTACTGTCAAATAAGTAATATTCGACGAAATTAAAATACATTTTCAAGTGTGAAGCTTCATTCCCATCATGCGTATTTTAATTTGGTCGAGTATTACTCACTTATTTGACGGTAATTGTTTTGGACTGAGAACGAGAGTACAGTAGTGCGATTCACGTAAGTTCAAGTTATCAAAATATCGTTGAAGTTACGTAGTCGTTCGATCGAAGTCCTATCCAAAATGGGTATTCACGTATCGCTTGAACGAACGTTCATATGAGTAGAATCGAAACGTAACAACTAATGAACGACATCTCGGATTGTGAAATTTGACATTTAGTCGTAGAAAGTCTATTGAAAGAACGGTCAAACTTTTAGCAGAATACGTATGACTTGTCGTTTAGAGTCGATTTATGTTCGATTCATATACCAGAATACGCTTTAACGACATTTGTATCGAACGACTAAATCGCTGCGATATCGTAACGGTTCGATTACGTGAATCACCCCCCAGGGCCTGAATTTAACTCCATTAGTTGCCCTTGGTACAATGAATGACACGGTTTGTTGAATTCTGGTTATTGGCGTGATCACGGTAGAAAAAAACAATGGAAGTGACTTACGCCTCGATTACTATGAGAACCGACGTCGCCAAAACTCATACATTCTTTATTTGAAACACTAAAATATCTTGATATTAATTCGTGGAAGTTTCAAATTTAAAAAGAAATAACAAATTCTGGATTGTTAATATAATTTAAACTTTACCCTGTTGACATATCGTTGAAAGTTCAATATCTACTATTGCCCGTTACGACATTTTAATATTATATTGAAATTTCAGTCAATCTGCTGCCATCTAGCGGTTAATTGCTGAACGACAACGAATTGGAGCGTCATACTCCGTGGCAGAACCACCAAAGCTTTACTAAATTTTAATTTTTTCGAAAATATCTATACGATTTCTATAAAATTCTAGTCCTACTAAAAAAATATCTATATCACTAATTTCGTCGTAAACTTTCATTCAAAGTGGTTGTGCTGCGGAGCATTCTCCCCGGCAGAACCACCAATAAATATCTATTACTAAACATAGTGTAAGCATCAAAGGCATCAAATAATTCTATAACAACTATATTGACCTAGCACCCCCAAATCCTCAATGTATTTTGAATATTCGAACAAAACGACGCCTCAAACTTTCTCCTCGAAGTAGTTGCTAAGCGCCTACATAAAAGTTCCTAGCAAGGATATGAAATATCATATTGTGTGCATTTCCAGGCGTTTAGATAATTAATCGTAAAATAAAATAAAATATTTTTTTTCTAGATTTTTTTATAGAAATCGTATAGATATTTTTGAAAAAATAAAAATTCATTAACGCTTAGGTGGTTCTGACACGGAGTATGACGCGAATTGCAGTTATTAATTTAGTTCTCCAAAAAAGAAGCGACCATATTAGAGGGGTATAAGCGTTACTTTCGTTTCTTGTAACAAAAAAATTATTTCGATTAACAGAAAAATGAAAATTTATTAAATTAACACTTTCCGATGGTGATGATGATACCACCACGGGTAATGTTTTTACTCTCCAAAACAGCACAATAGGCATTTTTCTAGGATGTTACAGAATTTGCACAAAATAATGACATAACTATACCATACAAAGCGAAAATGGCGAACTGAGGCCAGATACGTCATTCGAGATCTATACTTGGCACGTGTCAGACACTAACTAACCATCCTACTGTATTTATTGTTCTGTGGGTGTGATCATCTGATGCACTAGTTATTTTACTGCGCCGACTACTCACATGAATCGATCTCACACTCTTGTTCAGTTTTACCTGTATCTTCAGGCTTGTCTTGTCTTTTTACCCAAGTTTGTGCCTAGTTTGTCCTATATCCAAACTTTTACTCATGTTAGTATATTTTTACAGGTATACCAAGAGGATCTGATCTCAATGAAGTGAAAAAAGCTTACAAGTATCTGACAAAGGTATTGCATCCTGACAAAAACAGAGCCCCGGGCGCGAAGGAGGCTTTTATGGTAAGGAAAATATAATGCGTTTTGACGTGTAATTGAGAATAAAATTCAAAGCAAAGTTCCAAAACACTTTTATTTTGTGAAAGTTTATGATGTAGGTACGGTGTTGAGTTGGAATATTCGGAGCTCGAATTCTATTCCATTTATTCACCAGAGTACGTTTCATACAGAATTTTAATTATAAGTTAGCATAAGCTGTAAGATTATCCATCACGTATATAACCAGAAATAGAGACGAAATGTCATTTAATTTGTTTGAAAACTATTCTGCCAAATCATACTGTGACAACTGCGCTCCGATTGGCTAGCCCGAATTCGAAACTATTGACGGGTGTCGTCAATTGTTTCACATCAAATCGACCAGTTTAACCTGAGCGTTGCTATAATGGACGAAAATTTCAAAATTTCATATTTAATGCGATTCCGTTAGTTTTGTAATTAGGTGTTTTGCTGTTTTTCCCACACCACCGAATGAAACAGCTCCCATTGTTAGAGATATTATAATTATTACAATGAATACAGAATATTTTTGGAATATACGGAGACGTACACACAGGTCAGTTGTTGGCCCTGTACTATTTCAGTTTTTTAATGTGTGATTTCAGTGCAAATGAGAGTTGATATTTAAAAGATATATAACGCCCATTTGCCTGATGATGTGTCAGGAATGGACCTTAACAAAAACAAAAAAATAAGTTCTGTTGCTCTAGTGAAAAGGGGTACAAGTAAGAAAAGCCTACTTTACCTGGAGACGCGAAAAACAGATATGATATTAAGCGTTGTGTCCTTCGCGTTTCCTTGTAAAGTTGGCAATTTTGACTTGTACGCCTTTTCACTGGAGCCATAGATTTCGTCTCTATTTGTGGTTATATACTCGATGGAGCTATCCCTGTAATGGCAGACCGATAGAGTACAGCTTGTTTACCTATTAGACGTATCGTAATGTATTTCTATTTCCACAGATGGCGAAGGAAGCAACCGACCGTCTCAAGTTGAAGTTGAAGTCAAGAAAGTAATAAGTATCTATTGCTCTCAATCGTAGCAGAATAATAAACGCTGCTTCTAGTGACAACACCAACAGTGTCAACGGTCAGCTTTAAGCTGGGTGATTTCAGAATCCAAAAGAAACTTATCAATTTACCTTAGATTTCGTCTGTAATCTGTTTCTAATTGGATACATAAGTTGTTCCACTCTGGCTCAAAGAGGGTTGGGAATCAATTCAAGTACTTGTTGTTAAATCTTTTTTAATAAAGTTGATTATAGTCGTCTGTTTTGAAGACGGAGTAAACGGCAGTTCATTGCGCAAAAGTTTTGCCCGCTTGCGAGGACTAGTGATTGCCGTCGACAAATATTCTATCGACTATCGACTGAATATTAGTCACGCCTATGGAATAAATAGCCGAACTTTTCCATTTGAATCAACCTCGCCTCATTATTCATCCAATTAATGAGCACAAGTTCATTTGAATTGTCAATTATTGTAAATGTATTTGAATGAAAATTGATCTCGACACTAGTAGGCCTACTGTCAAAATAAAAATAAAGAAGGCAATAACGCAGTTAATAATAATTAGAACGTCGTCGTAACATTCCGAATTCAGTCATTTTTGGCAAGATTTTTATCTTCTTTGACAATCTATCAGTAATATTATCGACAATAACTACATATCTATTTAAAATTTTATAAAACTGGCAACCATACAAATGTCATTTTTCTCCGTCTTCAAAAAAAAAAAACCGACTATAGGTCCACACAAACTCATGAGTCATGACTTAAAAGTATGGCTTGCAAACCGGTTCGATTCCTAAAATTTTGATTATCGGGGCTGGACTCAGCTCAATACCGGTACTACCGGTATTCCCGATACTTCTTGAAAAGCTTAAACTGTATCCAGTAACTATGCTTCTTCCGAGTTATCTGTACCTATTTAATATAATTGACGTACTAATAACACCATAAATAATAAGGAAAAACTTCTTTCTCTGATCAAACTAACGGTTTTTATTCAAAATATCTATTTGAGAGGTAATTACTGTCAAATTTAACACAACGTAACACCGCATAAAAAAATGTAAGGCAGCGTTATAATGACATTAACAATTATCAGTCTTCAATACGAGTACAAAATCCCATAATAACGATATGAACTATATAAAAAACTAAACTGAACTATTTTTCTTTTTATCCGGGAGTACCGGGAATCTATAATAAGCCCTACTCAAGTGTCAAGACTGGAAATAACAATGCCCAAGTTACAATACTGGGCCATCTAATAAAAATTTGTTAACCAGAAATCGCACCATTATACGAATCATTGTAAAAACAGGTTGTAACAAAATAAGTGTAGATTTAATATATCAGTAATCATTTGTTATACAAACATGTTGAAGACTTAGAATAATAACGCATAGAAACCTAGTCCGCACACGCTAAGTGAGGCAAATTGAAGCGCGCCCAAAGGGCCTACACGAGCGGGCGGGCCGTCAGTGCTCAAGGTCAACTTGCACCGCGAACAGCTCAAGAATTTTAGCTAAAAATTACGAAATGTGCGGTAAATGAGTGTAAAAATACGTCAGACAAACATAAAATAGATACTAACATCACATTCCACAAGGAAGTAACGCGTTTCAACTTGTATTTTTATATAAATATTACCTAAAACCGAAAATTAACCTACTACTAAAACTAGCCTACATGAATTTGATTTTTGCCTCACTTGTGACAGTTCGTTTGATATGAAACTATCATTCTATGCGTTATTATTCTAAGGTTGAAGATATATTATGCATTTACTCACATGCATTTCAACCGACTAATGGTCTATCCACACGTATCCGGGCCGTACGCGAGACGTGGATGGGCCGTGCTCCGTCAGGGTCTCAAAAAAAAATCCGACGCCGGGACGGGCCTGCAATTCATACAAACTAGCACGGCCCTGATGTGTGTGGATAGCCCTTTAACCGCCCCGATTAGAACTCTTCGATATTTTAACTGAATCATTCGATTGGATATCGTTCTCGAATCGAAGCTTTTCGAGCTATTCAGAACATTCGCGTTAAAACGTTCGATAAGGATACCGGATTCGATATCGTTATCGAACAGTGATTACGGAGTTAGTCAGTGAAATAGATTATAAGAGAAATGAAAATCATTTTATATACATTTTTAAGACTTTAATGGCCTAAAATATAGGTATGCATTAAAATAAATTAATAAAATTGAACAAAATCCGGACTGTATTTAAAATAATAAGAGATATCCATATTACATTCCTGCTTTTAAACAATAGGACGTTCGGTAACTTTCATTCGATAACTGTGTTCTAAATGACGTGCTAGAAGTTCGAGTAATCGTACGGGTGTGACGTCATTTCGGTTCGGTTTCGAATACGACAGTTTGAAGTTCGATTCGGGTGTTGTGAATAAAAATGAAAAGAAATCGGTCGACAACTGAGTTATCGTAAGGTTCTGAATCGACCCCTTGGTGTGACATGGTTTTTCATATACGTTGTTGGGATGTTGTCTCATAGCAAAGATGCGTTATATGTAAACCGCGTTGGTTACCTATCACAAGTGAGAAATTGCATTTAACCGGAACAACGTTTGCTCGAATATTCATAATACCGAAAGTAATTTGAACACGGACACGTTTGTTTTTAACCTAACCTAATCGTTTCTTTACGATAAACATCTGAAATACCCTGAAAGAATAATAGTTTCGTTATACGTCGATTTTCGGGTTTATGAAGATTCGGGCAAATGTACTTTCAGACTTCTGGTCGGTTGCCAACCGCGTTATAAAAGTGTCGCATGTCGTCGCTTAAATGCTAAACGGCCGCTTCATCAAACTTTTCGACCACATTTTAATATTGTTTTAATTTTAAATACCCATGTATTTATACTCAAAAGATGCGTATTTTAAGGCTCTATACATGTCTATCTGTTTAGCTCAAAAGTTGGCCACGAAAGTGCAAAATGCCAAACAGGCATTTGCGTAATTCCGTTCTTTATAATGCGAAATCGCCAGGTGTCTTCGTGTAGTATTAAGTTTGACCGTTTTTAAACACATTTTTGCAATGAAAACATTTTTAAACTTTTTTGTGATGCGACGGTTTAGCATTTAAGCGACGATGTGTAACTTTTATGTTTGGAACTTATTTACTTTTATAAGTATTAATTAAGTTTATTAAATTGATATTAAGTAATTAAATACTTTAATTTCGTCACCCTGAGAAAAGTTGACATATCCCTTGTGCCTGCAATGTCATCAGCACCCGTACCCTTCAAAACCGGAACGCAGTAATGCTCACAATACTGCTTGGCGGCAGAAATAGGTAAGGTGGCAGTACTTCCCTAGATGCACTCTTTCACAAAGAACTCCACTGCAACTAAACACCTTTATCAACATTCCAAAAAATTATAGATTCACAGTTCAGGTATTTTAATACACAGGGAAAGTGTGAAATCAAACCAAAATAATCGACATTTTGTAATCAATTTTATTTCCTTTATCTACAAAAAATAACATTCTTAAGTTAACATCAACATAGCAGAGCATAATCTGCTTTTGAATTGCAATCAATTGTGTTGAGACAATTGTGATTGTTTGTTCTGCGATGGCTATTTTTAAAACCTAGTGTTGTCCCGTAAATAACAGGGTCGTACCTACTATATTATGTTATTAACAATGATCGGTATAGTGTGTTCCAAATGAGTATATATGTCTACGTATAGATACAAGGACTCGGAGTGGTTAAAACCATCAAGTATTAAACAATTACTGCTTTGATTTCCGGAGATAGTTTTATTATAGGTTAAAACTATTCATCTAAAGAGCTAAAGTCAGATTTTAAAGTAAATTTAGTAAAACCTTAGAATAATAACGCATAGAATTATAGTTTCATATCAAACGAACTGTCACAAGTGAGGCAAAAATTTAAATTCATGTAGGCTAGCTTTAGTAGTAGATTAATTTTCGGTTTTAGTGAATATTTATATAAAAATACAAGTTGAAACGCGTTACTTCCTTGTGGAATGTGATGTTAGTATCTATTTTATGTTTGTCTGACGTATTTTTACACTAATTTACCGCACATTTCGTCATTTTTAGCTGTTCGCGGTGCAAGTTGACCTTGAGCACTGACGGCCCGCCCACTCGTGTAGGCCCTTTGGGAGCGCTTCAATTTGCCTCACTTAGTGTATGCGGGCTTGGTTTCTATGCGTTATTATTCTAAGAGTAAAACAAGCTTTTAGCTCTTAAAAATCTTAAAAATGTTTACTTTGGTGAAAGATTAGTTACCTACAATTATTTTTAAAATCCAACTTCAACTTTCTAGGTGAGTAGTTTTATCTTATAGTATGCAGTAAAACTATTTCCGGCAATCTGGAATTCAAAACGTATTTAATTAATATTTGGTGGTTTTGAACCCATGGGGCCGTCCGGACTTAGGCATAAAAATGCGTTCCGGGTGCTGGTGGGGCTGCCCCGCTTCAGGCCCTGTAAGTAATACCCGAACAAATTAAAAGACACCAGCCCCCGTAGCATGGCTACCATGATAGTCCCGACGCGTGCGATAAAATTGAAATAGCGCGCGCTATTGGCTGTCTCAATCAGTAGTGCGATTCACGTAAGTTCAAGTAATCAAAATAACGTTGAAGTTACGTAGTCGTTCGATCGAAGTCCTATCCAAAATTGGTATTCACGTATCGCTTGAACGAACGTTGATATGAGTAGAATCGAAACGTAACAACTAATGAACGACATCTAGGATTGTGGAATTTGACATTTAGTCGTCGAAAGTCTATTGAAAAGACTGTCAAAATTTTAGCAGAATACGTATGACTTGTCGTTTAGAGTCAATTTAAGTTCGATTCAAATACCAGAATACGCTTTAACGACTTGGATCGAACGACTTTAAAATTGGACTCGGTGACCTTCACTGTCACGCGTGAATACGAATAAGCAATTCAACGACTGAATTGCTACGATATCGTAACGGTTTGATTACGTGAATCACCCCCCAGATCTAATTTAGATAGCCAATAGCGCGCGATTTTTTTAAATTTTATCTCGCGCGCGCGCGACTATCATGCGTAGCCATTCTACGGGGGCTAATCCGAATGAAGCTTCATACTTAACATTTTAATTTGGTCGAGTATTACTTACTTGACAGTAAGAGCGCTTGCGCATTACATCTCCGATTTGTATCAGAAGATCCGAATGTGAGAAATGGCGATCCGAAATCGAATCAGGGGGTCTAGTCTCGATCTCTGTCCGAAACAATTACTGTCAAATAAGTAATATTCGACAAAATTAAAAGACAAGTGTCCAGTATGAAGCTTCATTCGCATCACGCGTCTTTTCATTTGGTCAAGTATTGCTTATTTAACAGTATATTTAACACCTTACTTATTTAACCTATATATTTTATATCATGTTAAGTTGATGTATGTATATGTTCCTGTTGTTAAAGTGTATGTTTGTTGTAGTGGTGTCCTTTCTGTTGTGGTGGCCACAGAATATCAGCGCCGGTCTGTTTCTCCGCGAGCAAACTGGCACATGCTGAGTGGTGACCTTTTTGATTCCTTATTTTTGTAGTTGTAAAGTAGTTATTGTCAATGTAATGTGGACCAAATAAATATATTTTCTTTCTTTCTTTCTTTCTTAATTGTTTCGGACGATGATCGAGAGTAGACCCTCTGTAGCGTGTCAGGGATGTTCGCAGAAGCTGGATCCAAGATATTTCCATAAAATTGTGAATAATTCAATACATTCTCCAGCACTTCTAAGTAAGGTTAGGTTTACTATTCTTAGATCAAATGCAAGACGAAGAAATTATACACCTTTTAAAACTCACACCTCTAGAACTAATCTTGGCATCTCTGCTCCTATAAGTAGGCTATGTGATTTGGATATTTTTAATGATTCCCTGGTCAGCTTCATAACTAAAATAAAAAATTCAAGTTTAACAGAAATTAAAATAGAATTATATTAACTAATTTTATTGTATAACCTATTGCTATATAAATTTGAAAGTGTAAACTATATATTATAATAAAATCCGCTTGCTAGTACTAGCATGCTGTGGTAGCCTGTAGCGCGACATGTATAATGTTTTTTTTTATTTTGATTGTACCTTTTTAGCTGTACTCTGCGTATGTATTGTGTTCGCTGTCCATTCTAAATAAATAAAATAAAATAAAAGCAAGAGTGAATTGCTTTTACGGGACCATAAGCAAGCACGTCTCTGGTGCACCAGAGCTCCCACCCCATCCAGCGCAGCGCTCGGGAGCGAAAAGGCTCCACTGTCCGTGCGTGAGCGCACT